ATCTCTAAAAATGAGTAAAAAAATTCAATAAATAAAAAATACTTATAAATATTATTGTTCATTTAATCATTAATTGTGACTAATAGATGAACTAATTAACATAAATTAAAAAAATTAATATTCATGAGTGGCTGACTGGTCGTCTACGTCATCAGATCCCTGCAATCTGGTTGGCTGCGTATACTGCATGATTGGGATGATGAGGGAATCTTTGGGATTCCGGTAAATGCATTCCTGATTGTGATTGTTGCCGCCGGAGGATAGATGGATGGATGGAGGAATGCAGTTATCCATGTTCGGGACCATTGTGATGATGTCATCATGGGTGCGTTTTGTTGTCAGCTGGTACTGATAATTATTCAGTTTAAATTTTAAAAATTTTCCTACAGAAAAAATGGGTCCAAAATTTAATAAGTGATATTTTCAAACTGAAAAAAAGATTGCATAGATAAAAAATATAAGAAGAAGAGTAAGCGTTACGTCATTTTTAGATGTTCTATGGCTCGGCTTGCCTGTCACCGTATTATCGCCCGTGTTATTCGTCATAAAGAAATAACTGAGAGTTGAGCTGTATACAAATGTTCACGTTGGTATTATTTTGAAAATTTGCGTGGGTAGGTATTTTTAGTTTGTGTAATTTCTATGTGTGTGTGTATATGTGCATGTGATGGTTGGCACGTGCGTGTATATGTACACACACACACACACACACACACACACACACATGCACCATTATATTTGTTATGCAATTATATATTGAGATGTTTTCTTGTGTAGTGTCAAGGTGTTTTTGCGCTGAATCAAGTTTACAAAAAGTTAACATGAAATTTCAAACGTGACTTCAAGAAATATACACACAAAACAAACACACACAGCAAACACACACAACAAACACACAAAACAAACACACACAACTAACATACACAACAAATACACACAACAAATACACACAACAAACACACACACAGCAAACACATACCACAAACACACACATACACACACACCCCGCATAGGAGTAGTCTTTAAGTTTTGGACAGACTCTA